AACCCAACTCACTCACTCACCCATCCCATTCTAAACAGACTAATGAGATCCTTCCTGCTAGAAGATGTTCGCACATCTTGTATCTTCCCCAAGTGGAATCTATCTGTTATCGGCACTTTTAACAGAACCTTACGAACACCTGGCTAAGGCCACCTTACTCCAAAGATTCAGAAAAGCCTCCTTGCTCCTAGCCATGGCGACAGCAGCAAGAGTTTCAAAACACTGTGCTCTGGACTATTCTAGTCTCACCCATGATCAACATTGGACCTCAATTACTCTGAGATCGCCCCCAGATTTTGTAGCCAAAATCAGTCTTCCACCATGGGACCGTTGGGCCATAGACACTTACCATTCCTGTCTTGGGGCCGACAGTGGATCACCCAGAGAGACTTCTCTGTCCCATCAGAGCTCTCGGCTACAGACCCACATAGACACCATCAAGAAGACTATCATATCCTGCAAGCCTCTTTCCAAGAAGTACATCACCAAGGCTACGGTAACAAGCTCGCTTATGTCTACTGTTGCACCGATGCCAGAAGCATCAGAGGGTGTGAGAACCCGAAGTGATGTCAGTGCTGGAAATAGTGTCACAAATCCATTTTTAACAGGAAATGACGTCATTTGGCAGAAATAGACCAGAATGACGTCATTATTACTATCAAGATCAGCAAATATAACAGCATTCTAATAAAGGTATCACGTATTTGATTGATTCTTGAGGCTTTCTGATTTTCAAGTCCTCAAGAGAAATTTCAGAGGAAATTATCTCGGGTCAGGATTAGAATCAGTGATTAGGTTTCCAGAAGAGGACAAGGCCGTAGTTAACTGTTTTTTACATGGGGTGCAAATATTTGTACAAGTATCACTTGCTGACCAACTAGTAGTTTCATGATTCAAATAAAACTGTTTTTTATAAAAAAAAAAAAAACCTGCCCCCCTGGCTGGCTACGGCACTGGAGGATTACTGTCAGTTACACTGGGAGGTTCTAGAGGCAGATTCCGCCGGGTCACTCTGGTATATTCTGGCAAAGATGTCATAGAGGTAGAGGAACAATAGTTATCATTGTTAATAATTCTAAGAATACTACCTCGATTACATCAGAAGTACTCCCACCCACCTCCCCAATTCATCTGCCTCTAGTGGTTAGATGTTGGACGTCACAGCTTTGGTTGCTATAGTGCTATTGGAGAACAACTAATTGTGTGTAATTGACAGTGAAGAGGACGTCTGTTGAAAATTTAGGTGACTGAAGTTAAAATACAGGATTTATGGCAAAGATGTAATGGAGGTAGTATTCTTAGAATTATTAACAATGATGACTATTGTTCAATATTTATATACTTATCCTGTCTCAGACATAAGAGACACACCCTACCATCCCCTCATCTCAATTCCTCTAGCCTGATAGCTCTGCGAGAGAATGAGTTGGCAGAGGTATGCACGTGGTCATTTCAAGCAGGCTTGCCGTGCACAGGAAACACACAATTGATCTAGCATCTGGATGTACCCATAAAGACGCAGGGGGTGTTCGGGAGAATGTTTTTATTTTAGAAGTGTCATAGCGACTGATTTACGACTACCATTGTCTGAAGTACATTTGATTGCAAAGGCTAATTACCCTGTAGCCATGACATGTATATGTCTCCGTAACTTAATTGTCATTATTTATAAGACACTAATCCCCGTTGTTAATCCTCACCAACATTTCATTGTATTTTGACTGTCAGTCAGCCTGGACTACCATATCACTTCCCTTTAACTACTGCTTTTTATAGTATGGCATTTATTGCCCTAATTGATCATCCCATGAACTGTGTTGGTTAATCACGCCCACATGTCCAATGTCCAAAGCAACGTCGTTGTCTCTTTGTCTGTCCATTGTTGTTCATTACTATATATGTGCTACCATTACACAGTTACTACGGTGTTAGTCAGGCTTGGTATTCCGAGTGCTGGCATAGGGACGACCTCGAGCAGGATGTGCCGCTCGTAGGAAACGCCCTGAGGTGAGCTGTAGCTCCGCTCACCTCTTGTACGCCTGAGCTGGAAGGTCCACTCATTGCTGTGTTTGTGTTGTCAGAGCAGGTATTCCGCTCATTGTGCAATTGTTGTTTATTGTTTACATGTTGTGCATAAAGCGTTCCGGGACAGTGATGTCGATTTTGTCCTTTATTCCCCCAAGAGCTAATTCCCCGTCAACACAAGCCCGTTGACAGAAGCTTGAAACATGAAAGAAGAAATACTAAATGTATGACAGGTTAAGTATATAAATACACAATTTATACTAAAATTTTCATTAATATTGGGGAGCAAGCTTTTTATGACTAATTTCCTGTTTGGGTACAATAAACCTATACCACACAATGCATGCCTGTCAGAGATTAATTCCTTGAGTTGACAACTGAAAGCATCCTCTGTTTTTCCTAATTTTGGGCAAAATAAGTGAACAAATAAGAAACGAATGAGCAGACAGAAAAGCCCTGTTATGCAATATATACTGAACCGCAAAAGAAATGTCACCCCAAGTAACATTGCATTTAAATATCCAGGTAATTTTTGTCAAAGTTTCTAAAATTTAACATTACCTTGTCCGGAAAAATGAAATTTGGTGATAAAAAACAAAGCAGATGACAATAAAGCCGATCGCCCAAACTCATCACGGCAATGGCCTTGATAACCCGATTCACGTGAGTTCCGTGCAAATTGAAATGCAGATGCGTTCCTCCATTTCTTGCCCTATAAAAATCCACTCAGATCGGAAAACGTTCATTCGTTATTGAATTGTTACCACATGCCAAGATTGACAAGAAATCAGCGACACCAAGCCCTTGGATGATTGCAAGCTGGACAAACCACCTGGCAAGGAGCCAATGCATTTCAAGTCCACGTAAGGACCATATACAGGCTCCAGTAACAGTACCAGACCACCAAAATTACAGATGACCAACCATGTAGTGGAAGACCAAGGGTCACCACCTGACGTCAGGATCGTCAGATTGTGTGACAGCATTTTCAAGATCGCTTTGTTAAACAGCTCGACAGACCATGGGGACACACCAGCAACACATAGTGCAGACACCTCTACTGTCACAGGCCACACTGAGGACCCATTCTGACACCAAGCCATCGCGGGGACTGTCTTTGCCGGGAAGAGTCCTCTTCTCAGACAAGAGCCGTTACTGTATCTCAACAGCAGATGGCAGAGAGAGAGTCTGGCGACGCCATGGGGAACGTTATTCGGATGCTTGTGTTGTTGAGAGAGATTCGTGGGGTGGTCTGAGCATCATGGTGTTGGGTTGAATTGGTCTTGCACAGAGGGTCGGCCCTGTGGTCTTCCAGAACATCAGTCCAGGGAGAGGCAATGCTGTCACAGCAGCTTTGTACATTGATCAAGTCTTGAGACCACTGTGTATTCATAGGTTTCTGCCATGGGAGGCGTGACAATTACCGTATATATTTGTGTGTAATACGCACCCTAATTATGGGCAATTAAATCCTGGAAAAGAATATCTCTTCTTTAGTATCATTTCAGGTGTATGACTGTCATGATCTGTCATTGGAAATAGAATATCAACAATTCATATTGAATTATGCAAGTTAATCCTGTTGTTACACTATCTGGTAATAAAAATGTGTTCACTGTATATCTGACCTTATGTTTGTCATCTATTGTATTAATTTTATTAAAAATTTCATTCAATAATGTTTACCTAAATTTCGGTGAAATAGTTTGTCCCTCCAATACTTACAACTTCCGTTTTCCATCATTCCATAGCGTCTTCATTACCTCATACAGTGACAAGTATGTTACTTATTAACATGCTGATTATTTAAATACAAGGCGTTAATTTTAGGACATTTGCATATATTATCTTCAGAACAAATTTTCATTCAAATGCTGGATATATCGATTGTTGAACTGATGACCTGTCGACAGAATAAGAATAAACACATTTTGAGAAAAAATATTACAAGTTAATTTTACAAATGAGTAACTGAAACAAATTAGTGATAATAAATATGAATCATTATTATCACAGAAAAATAAAGGTAAGTGTTGTGATTTATGCTTATAAATCAGTGGATTTAACTACCGGTAATTTTCGGTCATACCATTCCATTGGTTGTCTTCCATTGTATGGCCACAAACTTTCTGGGGAAAAGGGGTAACATTTAGTTCTCGTGTATAATAATAATTTTGGAGTATAGAAATTGTGAAAATGAATAAATGCGGTAACACTTATCAGAGGTGTGATAAATATGTGATAAAAACTACAAGTTGTATGACTTTTATTATATGGAAGCATTGATGGCAGAGTGGGTTAGATCACTGACTTTGTGTGCTGGCAATTAGATGCCTCATTCTGGGAGTATGAGTTCAATTTTTTATGTTTACATGATCCCTGAATCAATGATAACCCTCCTCTGATCCTCCTTGCTATCCAACAATATATAGGCCACAAAATATACTTTGATAATCTGTTTGTTTGAACATTGTTTGCTTAAATAGTTTAGAATATTTTTTTTTGAGTATTTGATTGATATATTCAAGGAAAAGAAATATTCTTATTTTGCAATTCAAAGGTACGAAATATCTTGCAAATTTTGAAAATGACTCGTATACAATTGAAGCATAACTGGTGCAAGTCTTGTCTAATGAAAACTGTTCTCATTTTATTCCTATTTAAGACATATTTTACATTGTTAAAAAAGTAATTTTATGTTGTGTTTGTGTGTAGATGTAAATTTAGGACATTTGCATATATTGTCTTCAGAAAACTTAAGTTCAGTTGGGTAGTTGTAATATTTTCATTCAAAAGTTGGATATATGAGTCCAAGAGAATTGGGACTATATTATAATATGCAGTTCACTCAGTCATTGTTGATTTTGGTTTAGGTCTAATCATGCATGGTTCATGTCTTTTATTTGTAAAATATTTAGCCGTATGATATATTTATTTGATCAGCGAGTCTGTATATGTCCTTCTGTTCGTATTAGTGACCTATTCCCATATGGAAACAAGATGCCTGCAGCCAATATCCCAGTTGGACCAGCAGGACCAGTACCAAGGTGAGAGAACCCATTTGATAACACACAGTCAATCCTCATGGATATGAGCCCATGATTACAGGCATAATTTACAGTTTATAATGTTATAAATATTGTTATCAAGCTATGACAGTGTGCATGTTGCTTCTTTTCTGCAATATACATAACACTGAGTGAAACCTTTCGACTGATACACCCCAGAAGTCTGTCACCAATTTAAAGTTAACTGCCCATGATCATCCTCTTGGTCTAGATTGTCAATCTTGTCAATTTGGAAGCACTCTTACTGCATCTATGTCTGTTACATCAACATTTCCAGTGGAATGCTTGGATGGCAGTTATCACCAACCATGTCTGTCACTCCATCAGAAATGGAGTCAGCTGTGTTTTTTCCAGTTCATTCATCATCACAGAATGTTGTTGCCAACATCTCTGACTGTGTCTCAGTGTTTCCAATTGCTGCATCTTCCCAGGCAGATGTTTTTCTCCAGTACAGCTGTTTTAACATCATCTGCAGTGGTCAGCCAAGTGGGGTTTTGCCCATCACCTTCTGTGGTGCTAGTGCCAACTCCTGGGTCTCCACTACCACTCTCTGTTCCTGGGTCTGGCCCTTTCGCCTTCTGTGAAGGTGGTGCTTGCACCTGCTTGTCGGGTGGTACTTGTGTCTGCTTCCACTTCAGGTTGTTCATCTATGCTTGAAGTGTTTTCAACTGGCATGATGCCTCTTCTTTCATTCATGTCTTGGTTCCACTTTATCATGCTATAGCATCTGGTGGGATGTATTTGCCTGTGGTTGGTTCACCCCTACTCTGCACTATGCCATTTATGGCTGTGATGGCATGTGGTCGTGTTTACAGCATGCAGGTCACAAATCAAACGAGGTTAAGCAAACTTGAACATGGAGAGTAATTGGATGGGTGAACGCATTCGGCTGATTGATTTCTTGAGAGTTTCTAGGGCTTCAGTCCATCCCAACTCTGAAGTCTCATGAGGCAAATGACTTTGTTCGAAATATGCCTCAGTTCACCCAGCAGTGAATGGGTAGGATGAGATGTATTGTGACTGTTAACTTTCTAGCACCCCACATGCAGATTGGGTTGTGTATTCTCTGGTGAGTTGAGAATGAAATCAATTGCACACTGATCCATTGACCAGGGTAGTACTGGCGTAGCTCTTTGAGCATGCTCCTGTGTGGTGTGGAAATATAGTGCGATACAAGGGTGCAATATAAATGTGCAATTTTATCTACTTATCAGACAGAGGATCTGGCATCGACTTGAAACTGTTCTACTGCACCTCATGATGAGTCTACATCTCCAACAGGGTAGCCTAGGGGTATAGCTTTTGCTCATCACGCTGAAGGCCCGGGTTCGATTTCCCTCATGGGTACAATTTGTGAAGCCCATTTCTGGAGTCTCCTGTCGTGATACTTGCTGGAATATTGCTCAAAATGGGGTAAAACCATACTCACTCACTCAAGCAGGTCCTTGCCATGCCTTCCTGTCAACCATAGAACCCCTTTGGAACACCTCTGCTTTTTCCTCCATATGTGTCGTTAACCGTGCCTGTAGGTTTCGAATCTCCTGGACCAACCAAGAAACAGTCTCTACGATCCTTTGGATCCTAGTTTCAAAATACATGAACATGAAATTTGGCTGACCATCCCCCTTGGCATCTGCAGTCTGAGAATGCCAGGGTAACTTTGTTGACTGCTTGCATTGTTCTGCCAAGAAATGAACAAGCGGGGATAGGGACCCCTTCAGCATAAAAACATGGAGTCATTTTCAAAACCTATGGGGCCACACTCCGAGAGATCATAAAAATACCCCTTAAAATCTGATGTGCAGGTTATTGATGCTGCATCCCCATCCACAGGTAATGTTAGCAATACATGAATGTTTCCCACAGCTTCTTTCTCAGATGTAATATGTTATGTATTGCTGCATCTACATCCAATGTCATATATTTAGTCTCAACAGCTTGTTTGTGATCACCGTTAGCATGTCTCTTCAAGGTACTCGTTCCAAAATATATACTATCTAGTTATAAAAATTGTTTACATTAATTTCAGAGAAATTGTGTGGGAAGTGATCATTAGATCGCACAACTCACTGTTACAAGTAATATTTGTGGCAATTTGACTATTATGTCAACATACCATTTTCGCAATCGAAATACATGTAGCCCGGGAAATCCCTAGGGTGACAGGTCAAACTTTTCCATATGTAAGGGGCATTTGTGGAGGGAACTACCGCACTCTGAGTGGGCGTAGCTTATAAGAGTAATCTCGACAGGTCAATATGATGTTATGTTAACACAAACATTTCACTGGTTAATGCATAAATGGGTGACGACATATAAACACCCACCCTCGTGGGCTGTTTGACAACAAGGACGTAAGTTTTAATGGTAATATAGATATCAATCAAACGATTCGAAGACTTTTCAACATTTGCGTAGGTCTTTGGTTTCAGTGTGTTTTGGCAGTCACACTTGTCCGAAAGCTTCTCGGGCTGAAGTCACTCCATGGGTTCCGTGACCCAGATTTAATTCCCTGTTAATTCCTTTTGTGCAATGCCAAGTATCATTTGCATAAGGCCATCCATATTTTTTATATGTGTGTTTCTCATCTCTGACCTCAACCAACAAGAGAACAGGCAGACAAAATAAAATGTAAAATTTAAGAAAAAAATGTCATTTTAAACAAAAAAGTTCTTTCATGGCATATTTTATAAAATTTTAAAACCCTTGGTACAAATCTATTAATTGATTTATGACGCGAGTTTCTGTGCTTCAAAAACAAATTTTTAATAAACAGTTGAAGAAAGATAATGTTGACCTTGTTCTTTTATGATGGTCCAATGGTACATTATACTAGTAAGTAGATCGGTGCACAATTTTTCACAGCAACAGGAAGAAATGAGATACAAACATTTGTTTATTATTTCACGTAGGAATTAATGGATCAGTGTCAGAGCTGTTCACATTGCTTTTGTCAACTATGGGTAACACTGCACAGGCAATCGTGGTTAGGGAATGGAGCCCCACCAGGTTGCAGAAAATCGTCCATTCAAAAACAGTGCTACAAATACTTCTGGACTGACCTGAATAGACAAAGTGTATGGAGAGATCCTAAATACTTGAAGAAACGGATATCAAAGGTAGCAGCAGATGAAGGTTTGGTGTGGACAAAACGGGAAGTGATGCCAGATTGTGTCTTAAAACTTGTGCATGAATGTGGATCTGATGGTCAAACTCAGTTTTGAGTGTGAATTATGTGAAAGAAAACCATAATTAAGATTTTCTTGGAATGTGTGCATTGGATTTTTCCTTTATTGTGAGTACAATATTATCAAGATAGGTCTTATGTCTGTCAAAACATCTAGTTATATTTCTCTACATTTTTATCAGTTGGTTATGCGAATTGTTATGTTGATATGCTGACCTATTCCTATGTTGTTGTTGTGTAGGGGCGGTCGGGTAGCCTAGTGGTTAAAGCGTTGGCTCGTCACGCCGAAGACCCGGGTTCGATTCCCGACATGGGTACAATGTGTGAAGCCCATTTATGGTGTCCCCCGCCGTAATATTGCTGGAATATTGCTTAAAGCGGCGTAAAACCATACTCATTCACTCACTCACTCACTCACTATGTTGTTGTCAGGCTAAGAAATATTGACTCAACTGGTGTTTCAAATTAGGCTTCTTCTTAAACACCATTTGAAAATCTGTGCAATAATATAAGATTTGGAAACATAATCTGATTATTGTGTGACATAACTGTTGAATGCAAGTGACCAAAACTAAACATATAAACTACCCAAATATATGTCATTTTCGGATTGAACTGAAACAATCTTGTCGCTAATGCTTGTGTAACTAACGTCAATTTCATAATTATGTATCATTACTGTTAACTTACCGAAACTGTTGTGCTGCTGTATATATATACACCACAATACTATTTGACCACAAATGCATCAAATGTGTCACATGTACACATGACACTGTGCTTTGCTATTTAAAGCACAACCCTAAATAAGCTCTGAACCATTGTGTTTGAGGCAGACGCTAAAAAAACAACCGATTCGATTTTTTATGATAAAACTGCATTATCCTCAACCTTTGGCAGTGCCTGGTCTCATGCTGAGGTATCTGTGAAAGTTCCCGCCAATTCTCCCATCTGGCGGTGTATGCTCAACGTTGGCTAAACGATTCCACAGAGAGGCGTTAGTACTCTCATTGAATTTGTTTCTTGTGGCGTCTGGTAGACATGAGCTGTACCAAACATGAAGATCTTCAGACTTTAAAGACTGATTATACATTTTACGAGGCACCTCGCTTCATCATCACCTCCTTTCATCATCTCCTTGATATAAGAACAGGAGCACCTGTGCCGTATCGTATCTTGCATGGTGTTTGGTTGAGGAGTATATTTTTTTAGTCTTTTATTTAGGTCACCCCTTGGTGGCTGTCGAGGACTTGGTTCGTTGACCTCAAAAACCTTGCAAAAGACGATCCATTACCCCGCACATAGTGGTCGAATCTACTCATCCACTCTCACAGTAAAAGGGCTATACGACATGGACAGCTAAGGCCATTGCCTTGGTACATCGTCTCTCTACCAGCAGGTTGGTTATAAGATAACAAGTGGCGATCATTTGAAACCATGATAGCATTACCTCAATTCTTAGCTGAATACCTCCTACACATGCGTACAAAAAGACACTTGAAAGGTAACACCATTACAACGTATTTGGTAGCGCTTAATTCAGTGTTGGCCATCTGGCGAATCGCCAAATGACTAAGGTCCCAGACCTACAGGCCCTATGCCCCCCTACTATGCTCTTTCAGGCTTGAGGATCACAAGGCCAAATTTCGTCCCCCTGGGTGGGATTTGAATCAGGTATGTCGATGTTTGCGCAGGTCCCCCTTCGAGCCCCTCAACGCATCCTCATTTTATCACCAAGAAAACTATACTTCTCTTGGCTTTAGCTAATGTGGTGCGGGTGAGCAAATTATATGAATTTGGCATCACAAGTGTCCGTTTTGAGCATGGTACGCAGAGGTACGCCTCAGGTTGTGCTGGGATTTCATAGTGAAAAATCAACTACCAGGACAACCCAACCGGCCCTTCACCCTTCCACCAATCTCTATGATTGTTGGGGTCAAAGATGAGGGAGAACTCCTCTTGTGTCCTGTACATGCACTACGAGTTTTCATCCACCTCTCCAAAACTAGGCGTGGTTCGCGGAAACGGTTATTCATCGTCCACGACCGAAGTTAGTCGCAACGCCATATCACTATGGTTACACGCAGTTATCCTGCAGGCTTAGGAGATCGCTAACCTTGATCCACTGAGAGCGAACAATCCTCATGAGATCAGAGCGGTAGCCTCAACCAGGGCTCTTCATAGCAACTGTTCTATTAGAGCAATCATGAAAGGATCTTTTTGGACGTCCGACACGGTTTTTGCCAGGCATTATCTTTGTTATGTGGCACTTGAAGACGTTATAGCATTCGTAACTTTGGCCCTCTGGTAGTAGCCTAGCAGGTTACCAACCCCAAATAATGAACTCTTCCTGTCTGGAGCAATTTTTACCCATCCCGCCCTGTACTGACTACAACACGCCCGATGGGAGGACTTTTCAACTTTGGCTTGGCAATACAGTACATACAGATTTTAGCTTACGCCAATCTTCCATTTTACTGGTAGTTAACTTGGACTTATCCTCAATTCTTGTGTTGTTTCTGTAAGATTAAACAAGCCCTACGGTCCGGCGTCATGTGTTTTTTTAGAGTTTCTTTTTACATCTGAAGGTTTACCCACCGCCAAACTGTCAGATAGAGATGCATTAAGGAGTAATGCAGTATAGGTAAAAAAAATAATAAAATCTAAATATTTTTTACATTTGTATACTTATCCTGCATTACTACTTCTCAGGACCCACCTGTCGCAGACTTGCCTCCCTGCTATAGCTTCAGAAAAATCTTTTGCTCAGGTGAAGAGAGTATGGTAATATGAATTGTGACATCATGATCTGTCACGTGCAAGCGGCGATGGTCCTGTAAAAAGTAGACTTGATATGGAAAAACTTCTTTTTCTCACCCAGGACCATCGCGAGGCCCTGTCTTTCTTTCTCGTAAGGTAGGCAGTAAATGCATAATGCAGAATAAGTATACAAATGTATATAAATATTTAGATTTTACTTATTTTTATGAGTGTTACAATAACACTTGTTTTTATGAATTGGGGATAATGATAGGAGGATGTTTCCTGGTTACATTAACTGGGTCCTCTTGTCCTGGTGCATCATCTCACCAATCCATGAACCCAGCATTGACATCACCATCCTCCTGGTTTCTACACAAAGTCAAGCTCATGGTTGTTGAAACAGACAAGTGAACATACCCTTGAAGTACTGAAGCAGGGAAGATGCAGTTGTATGTAGGCCTGTGGAATAATTGTATACTGTTGTAGCAAGATAGTTATAATTAACAGGAATATTCCATATATTACATGCTAAGCCTGCTGTGACAGGTCCTATGTTTTCTGGATGATTGAAGTTATGGGGAAGATCTCTGAATTGGTGACCTGAGCTTTCATGATGTTCTCATTGGAGCTGTTTTCACTCTGTGGTATGGATATCGAATTGCACAGTCATAGCAGACTTTATAATACACAGAATACTTAGATTCCTGTTATTTTACAAGATTTGTTTCTGTATAATTCGTCGTACCATTATATGCTCGAAGGCAGATGTATAGAAGGACTGAACATTATGATAGTGACTGCCATTTTGCAGTTAGATGTAAAAGCAAATTCAGTTGTTTTTGTTTTTGCAAAAATAAATGGCTTATTTTATATGTATATTCCAAATGGATTCCTTGGTTTGTCCAGATACAAGCGTGAAGAAGAACTTGAATATTTCATGACAAAGAAATACAACAGTCTTGGTGCCAAGATTACAGCCAAGACAGCAACTCTGAACAACCTTGTAACAAACCAAGATCTCAGGCTCATTTGATCACACACATATTGTCTGCTTACCTCCTGAATATGTTTGGTGAAGTTATTAAATTCAGTATGAATACCGGTATATTTTTTTATTATAGGCCTGGAATTTCATTCATCATAAATCTGTTGAAGTAAATATGAAGGATCATTGTCCATTTGTTCAAAAATAACTGATATTGTTTTTCTACTCCTCATTTATTGGAAGCAGTGTTTGTTTCTAAGAATGAAGTCAGCAGTAAATAATTTAATACAGGAAATAACAAAGAAAGACAGAGCGACTTCAGTATTTAATTTGCACAAGTAAGAATGTATTACTGGGACAAGCCACTGAACAGATCTGTGATATTCATTCCTTCCTTTCTATTCATTTGGGTCATTCTTTATGTTCATGTGTACACACTGTACAGGCATAGATGATATAATCGCTGACAGTCCTAATCAATTATATTCCCTGCAAACACTTCACTATGATCAGATAATGTTTAACATTTTCGGTCCATGATATTGTATTGGAAATAATTTCTAGGTTTAGTAAGAATTTCTTGGTTTGATTTGTACATTCATTAATTGGTTCTAAAGAGAGTGAATGGATCTGTTATATCCTATTTTTTTTAGCAATATGATATAAAGTTTTACCTCTTCTCTCAAACACCTTGGGACCAGAGAAATAGTTCAACTTATCCCAGGTTCGACCCTCTGACTTAACCGTCAGACAACATTAAGTGAATGTACCACATCATGCATGTTACGGATGTAGACATTAAGAAATAAAAACAGAAGCATTTGTCATATCTACTTTTATCTATCTATATGCATTTTCCTCACATCACGGGATTATCAATATATCATGTAATAACATCAGGTAATAAAATACATTTCCCTGATTTGCTATTTTGAATGATATTGCAATCTAGAATGATACCCAATACACATGGAAGAAGATTATCTCACTGCTAATATCAGTGTTAAAAATACCTGCCTGCCCGACCGTCCGAGACGGGTTGATTTCAACCAGGGCTGCCAGATTTTCAAATCCCCCTGCCCGACGGTCGTGTTATATTTCATATGTGAAAATATTCTAAATATTTCCCGATGATAAGCATTAATTCACATGTAAAGATGAATGATAAAATGTAACAAAAAAAAACCCCGTTAGCTTTTAGACAACCTAAAATCTAGCGATGCGCTTATGCTACAAGCAATCAGTTTTTATATTTTGAGACAAGCTATTTGATTGGATAATCCCCGACACGACGACCAATCAGTGACCCTGTTTCTGTTGCTAGTGATATTGCAAATGGCGGTGCCCATTACCCACGTTGCTCGACAGCATGAGTCTTTTAAAAATTTTGGTTTACCTGAAGTCAGTGATGACAAGAAAAAAGACACAGGCTGAAAGAGACAAGATCAATGATAGCACGAAGCGAAAAAGAACGATCATTCCTTCTTGGAAAACTGAATATGAGTCAGACTTCAGTGACCTCGTTGAAGGAAGTGACAATCACAATGACACTGACAGTGATATGGACATTGATTGAAAGTCATGAGGCCCTATTTAGGAATAAGGATATTTACATGATGTATTCTAGGATATTAAATACAAATCTGACCTAAAAAGTGTTTGCTATTTCTTTTCTTGCATTACTTCATGTTCAATGAATTCGATTTAAAGTTTTAATTAAATTATCCTTAGAAACATATGATTATAGTGGGCAGGCAGGTTTTGGTCAGGGCTGGCATGTATTTCAGCTAGCCAGTCCTGTGGTCTGGCTGAAATTTTTGGGAGTTTCATACCCTGCTAATATTCAAGCATACTAACTGAATGTGTTGCTTTTAATTAGTTACAGACTTAACTTTAATTTGTGATATAGTGATATAAAGTACCAGTTTGCCAGGACAGGACTGAGTTCGACACAACCTGAGTTCGACACATACATGTGTAACTGTGTAATAATTGTATCATTTGTCTGAGCAAGCACACATAAGCATGCAGGTCGCAAAAATCTTCAATGTGACATTAAGCCTGATTTCACCTCACCTGTATGTGTTTAGAGAATATTATTGTATAAATTGTATCTATGAAATGATAACGAGGCATATATATATATATATATGTGTGTGTGTATATATATATATATATATCTATATATATATATATATATATATATACACACATGTGTGTGTGTTTTTATATATAAACCTGACAGTTTCTTGTATTTTTTAGTTCAGTTGGTTATGACAGAAACTTAAGATATTCAAGATTTAATAAAGCTTTATTGTTTGTTGACAATGCAGTTGTTTACCCCACTGATTGTAATGTACTTGTCAATCACATAACTATCAGTCTACCAAATAAACAATTTGTGGTACACTTTGTGTTCTTTAAGTATGTTAGTTATTGAAAATACAGTGACACCTCTATAAACTTGAGAGAGAAAAATGTCAGGGGTTTGATCTTCGGACACGTGTCAACATTAAAATGGGGTCGTCCTGGAATGCTAGTTGCTTTTGTTCTAATATAATGTTTAGAAAAAGGATTACTGAAATTGATTAAAGGATTAAGGGATTATGTGTGTCTGGTATACTGGGTACCCCCAACACTACTGCAGAATAATTCTGGTTTCAAAAATGTAATGGTCTTATTGACTTCTGGAACTTCTGTTTAGGAGGTTCAACTTTCTAGTGAGTCAAAAGCATGTCTGGTTTATAGCCATGTTGAACCAACTAAAGGGGAATAACTCCCAATGATCTACAGTTAAGTGCTGGTACAACAACTAGCTATAATAACTGTGTACATAGCACTCTGGTGGAACATGCTATAATGTAAAAACATTAGATATATTGACTTACTGCTACAGAAAACAAGACCCACATATTTGTTTGATTGTATTTTCATTCATTCTATTTTTATTCATTTGGCAACATTACATGGATTACATTATGATAAATTCAATTACATAATGATACATTCAAATATGTTATTATACATTGAAATACATTATTTTACATTCAATAACATTCAACATTCATTTGTATACAATTACATTCAACATTGCAATACATATTACACTAAAATTTACATTTAGCAATTAATCTTGATAACCAGTCAAATGTGACACTGCGTCAAGGTATCCTACTGCCACCAGGTCACTGTTCTCAAACCGTTGTTTGTACCTCTGTAGAGTATTGTCCAATTCATGGTATTACTTCTTAGGTTGTCTGGTGCCACCAGATATTAACTGCATCACAATGCATTCCACATCATTCCTGATGAACTGTATTATCCTAAATAAGTGGTGATGTGAGCCGGTTAGATGCAGACTCAACTTGCGGTGCCAACCCTCGACATGGTTGGTAGTCAGAGGTCCATGATTGTCAGAGTGGTTTATATTTGGCGCTCCCTGTCTTCTTCTTCCCATGTAGTTGTGATGTAGTCCTTGAGATGATCGGTTGGGGCACTGACAGAAGATTCTTCTAGGATCTCTAACCACTGATCATTGGTTCTGGTAGAAGGGGAAGTGCGATGGCCCTGCGAACAAGTTGGTTGAAATCAGGTTTGTCTATATATAATGACGTGAGTCAGTACTTCTGGACAGATTTCCACACTGCCTGGCCATAATGAAAGTAACAACCTTTCAAGATGGCACCAGGGAACACTGAAGGTAGGGCATTTTAGGCAGCACGCTCGTAGTCTGTGAAGAGGAATGATGGAGTCAGAGTGATGTTAAGGGCTCTGGCATGGCGGACAATAAGAAAGAACAGTCTCTCATATGTTGTGGGTTCTACTATTCAATATCTGGGAATGTTTCATCAGACGTTTAGTGCAGTCAGTCAATAAAACATGTCTTTCTTAGTTTGGTAAGATCATGAGAATATCAACTGGCGTACAAATAAATAGAACACACAGCAAAATAAAAACAAACAAAAAATAAGTACAAGTAACAAGGTAAATAGAGGTTATCACGCAAGTGTGTTTGGGGATGGTAAATATCCTGCATTAGGAATAAACATTGTATTTAGCGAGCCTTGGCGAGCTAAATACATTGTGTTTATTCCTAATATAGGATATTTACCATCCCCAAACACACAAGCGTGATAACCTCGTTATCATATAATGTCATTCTTTAATTCTGTGCTTCAAAATCGCTTTCCCTCTCTCACAAACATTACCGAAACATTGCGAGTTTTCCTGGAATGCGCGCATTAATATTTATTTCATCACAGGGTAAATGATGTGTCAGTCGGACAGTGACAGTAGCCAATATAGTTCCAACTGAAATCTGTTTCTTATACAGTGGCGAAGCAACATATACTCAAAACAACAATTGTTTTTAATTGCCTTTCGCGGCAATCCCTCGTTCTGTCCGCTAGAGTAACTGCCCTTTGTCAAAGGGAAGCTACTCTAACCCTAGTCTATGTGACGTCACGGCCACGGTCAGACGCTGTTGACAGTCGGTCTGTCCTGTCATAACATTAAGAAGTGTAGTCAAATGTACACAAATGCGACAAAACGAAACATGGTAACAATTCAAACATATTTCGTCCAAACTAACTATTTTAATTTGTGCAGAAGGTTTCAAGCCGCAGAGGTCTTCAAGCACAGATATGGCTACTGATCCAACTTGGCTAGGCCTTGTGCCCTCACAAAATTTGTTTCGAAATTTATATCTCCAAAGTTGCCAAAACTTATAAAATGCCTTAGCTACGTCACAGTTAGACACTGAATTTCAGTATATATGACTGTTCTTTTGATAAGGAAAGCAATTATCCCTGTATCCAGATTCCGGATGGTTTATTCTGACTCGATCGCCGAATGATGAGGGCGACGCCATGTTTGTTTATAAACAGTGAAAGTAGTCCCTACTTGACCTTTGATATTTGCATCTCTATCCGCATATGACCCCAACGGATATCGTTTTTATCCGTTGGCTTTATCCTGCCAAGAAACCTACCCATTATATGATAAAAAATATTTAATAGGCTATGAAGGTTTTTTATCCAACAAAGCAGACCTAATGGTTATTACAGACAAATTTGTTTAAAAAATGTTTGTTTGTTTGTTGTTTAACGCCACACTCAGCAATATTCCAGCTATATGACGGCGGTCCATATCGCCTACACCCCATTTCACCTACGCCCTTATCAAAACAAATTAAGGGTTCACTGCACATCACATAAATGCTGTTATACCTTTAGAAAAGTGAACTCTTCCACTAATAAGGTTAGTTCATATATTTCAACAACTCAAAAAAATAAACTCTTGCACTTATGATTTATATTTTAATAAGGTCATAGAGTCAACATACATCAATATCATCATCATCATCATCATCATCATCATCAGTCACATATAAGTTAATCAAGTACATGTGTGATACACTAATTCAACAGTCACATAACAATTACTGTAAGTGTCCAACTGCATCTATATAAATACATCAGTGATTCGAACTTTTTCACATGCATGACTTTTACGCCATGAGAGCTATTCTCAAAAGTATTAGTTTCCGAACAAAAATATTTCGTGTGTGGATGCAATTCTTACATGGTCGACCCTGATGAAAAAATTTGGCGCAATTGCATAAAAAATCATGACTTGAGGCCGAACTATAAATACATCAGCGATTCGAACTTTTTCACATGCATGACTTTTACGCCATGAGAGCTATTCTCAAAAGTTTGTTTCAGAACAAAAATATTTGGTGTGTGGATGCATTCTTACATGGTCGACCCTGATGAAAGAAAATTGGTGCAATTGCATACAAATTCATGACTTAAAGCCGAACTATAAATACATCAGCGATTCGAACTTTTTCACATGCATGACTTTTACACCATGAGAGCTATTCTCAAAAGTTTTAGTTTCCGAACAAAAATATTTGGTGTGTGGATGCATTCTTACATGGTCGACCCTGATGGAAACATTTGGCATAATTGCATAAAAAATCATGACTTGAGGCCGAACTATAAATACATCACCGATTCGAACTTTTTCACATGCATGACTTTTACGCCATGAGATCTATTCTCAAAACTTTTAGTTTCAGAACAAAAATATTTGGTGTGTGGATGCATTCTTACATGGTCGACCCTGATAAAAAAAATTGGCGCAATTGCATAAAAAATCATGACTTGAGGTCGAACTATAAATACAACAGCGATTCGAACTTTTTCACATGCATGACTTTTACGCCATGAGATCTATTCTCAAAACTTTTAGTTTCAGAACAAAAATATTTGGTGTGTGGATGCATTTTTACATGGTCGACCCCCATGAAGAAAATTGGCGCAATTGCATAAAAATTCATGACTTGAGGCCGAACTATAAATACATCAGCGATTCGAACGTTTTCACATGCATGACTTTTACACCATGAGAGCTATTCTCAAAAGTATTAGTTTCAGAACAAAAATATTTGGTGTGTGGATGCATTCTTACATGGTCGACCCTGATGAAAGAAAATTGGCGCAATTGCATAAAAATTCATGACTTCAGGCCGAACTATAAATACATCAGCGATTCGAACTTTTTCACATGCATGACTTTTACGCCATGAGAGCTATTCTCAAAAGTTTTAGTTTCAGAACAAAAATATTTGGTGTGTGGATGCATTCTT